GTCGATGATTGTCTTCTGGACAACTGTCAGATCAGCAGTCTTCCCCATGATTGTGTAGCCTAGTGAACCAAACTGAGTGACCATTTTGAAGGCTCAGGACACTTTTGCAGGTGTTTTGAGTTGACTAGCTGAGTGACATGTCACCATATTCTAATTTATTGAGATAGTGAATTGGTGGGTTTTTGTTAAATGTGGGCCAAAATCATCACAATTAAAAGACGCAATGGCTTAAACTACTTCAGTCTGTGTGTACTTAATTTATATAATACACGAGTTTCACTATTTGAGTTGAATTACTGAAATAAATGGACTTTTCCACGATATTCTAATTTATTGAGATGCACCTGTATACCTGAGCAGGTGACAGTCTAATGTTACACAGCATTTTACACTTGTTATTTTGCTTTACCCAGTGAAGCAGTAAAATAAATGATACCTCCAGAACAGTTCTGTCACTTGTACACTGTTGTTACTGGTGTGTATTCTTACCCAGCACTGTGTAGGACTCTGCTGTGAACCTGTCTCTGCCTGGTCGGGCTGTCGGTGCTCTCTTGGGAGACATGAGGGCCGACCTGATTACAATCAAGACAAGCAGTAGACGTTCTCAAAGATCCATATTTCTGAGATGTTTCAATAATGGCAGAAAGTGACATGACCATGGGCCTGGTGTCCCATGCACCCCATTTATAGTCAAAAGTCAGGTTTAAAGATATTGAAATTCATACAAACCTGGCTGGGGAGTGCATCGGGGAGCTGGTTCGGTTCTTCTCCTTGCGGATGTCCTGTATCTTTCCTCCGCTGCTGTCCCACTCCACACTCAAGTCCTCCACCTTCAGGTTCTGGTGGGCTGAGGCAGCGTCCAGTTTGAAGGTGAAGGCTGGAAACAGAACAGGAGGACTTTTTTCTATTAACACACAAAAAATTTGTTACACATGACACAACCCAATATTCACATTCCTGTCAACAAAGAACCTGAAAGAGAATAAAACTTTTTATGATTTATTTTTTTTTGCTCACAGTTAAATACACCTTCACAAACCTGCTATCAAAACACACTAATAAGTAATTTCCCACTGCTGTATATTCTCACCATGGGTTTCTAACGTTACCGGCTCAGAGAACTCTCCTGCCACGGCCTTGTTACATGCCCTCACTCTGAAAGTCATGTACCTGGTGTCAAAGCGCAGACCTGATAATTAAAACACAAGCATTCTTTATGAGTCAGCTTCAAAGTTCAGACAACAAATGCCAAACATCTCACAGTCCTCCTCTTACCCGTGAGAGTGTGCACCATCTCTCGTATGCCCTCCACCACCATCCAGGGGTAGTCCTCTCTGATGCGGGGTGGACCCTCATGGTTTGTGCGTCGATGTTCCAATATGTAGTGGTCTATCTTGCTGTCAGGCTCCAGTAAGGTCCAAACTACGGTTACTGTGTTGTCACACACTTGGCACTCCGAGACCTGGATCTCTGGTGTGGCAGGAACTGAGTGTGGGAGAGAAGAAACAGCTCTTCTGTTACAAGGAACATCTGGAATCAGTTTCCATGAGTGTAACAAATGCTCATTTTCTATTCCACAACTGGTACACATGCTAGGTGAAATACTCATTAAAGAGCAGATTTAAAAATGCTTTTCAGAACTTTTCTATACTGCTGCTTTCCCTCTCCATCTATTGTTACCATTGTAACAGTACACCTGCTTCCCTTTTTCACATACACCTGTTGTGTACATGAAAAACTGAATAGATAATTGAATGCACAGAACAGCGAAGCATCTGTATTGTCTGACTTTTTCCACTTGATGGCAGAAAAACTCAAACAACCTGATAAGCACATGGACTAATATGTTATTCATCATCACCGCAGAAGTTGTTGTGGCTAAGGTGTTAGCTAACAACTTTCATTTACACACCAAGCAGACTCTTAACATCACTGACATTCATTTGGAGTCATGTTTCTGGCCACTGGGTTAAACCCAAGTCCAATATTCACTCTCCACCAGTTTTAGACAGGTGGAGAGTGACAGGTGAATAGCATATCTCAGTGTTTTTTTTGGATTATATTATAATTTAATTATTATCAGTTTCTTAGATGAGCAAACAGTGTATTTAATATTAGAAGCATGAAATACGCCAGAAACACTCAAGTTCAAGTGCCCCAGAACTGTACTTAATTACAGTACTGTTGTAATGCACTTAGTTACATGACACTGCTTATGTAGCCACCACTGCAACTACTCTTTTTACATCTCTGATTATATTAAAAGGGAAGCAGACCTGGGAGAAACTTGAGGCCCTGCAACATCTCCCTCTCCTGGCTGAAATCCACAATCAAGTGACTCATGTTGTCACTGGCTTTCACCTTCAGGGAGAGACGAAAGGCTGGAGCCATTGTCACGCTGCGGACAAAGAGACACACAGACACGGGGTGGGTGGAAAGTGGAAACAAGCATGAACCATTATTTAACTGAGACCGGGGGGGCGACTAGTGCAGCTCACTAAGAAAAGGCCACTAACTAACTGCACATCTGTTTCATGTTTTAACGCATGCATGCTACATCATGAGATGGAACTCTGGCTACGGGAGACTATGACAAAAGGAAAGCAATGGATGGCTGAGTACTATACCTATCCTTAATGTCTTTGGCCGCCTGGAGAGGAGAAGCAGAGAGGGAAAGGAAAAAGGAGAAAGGAGAAAGATGAGAGGAGATATGGAGCGAAGAGAAAACTGAGTTGTAGCCCATCATGTCATCATTCAACACAAAGCTGTCGCAGGTAGCAGTGTTAAAGTAACTGGTAGTATAACACCACAAGAAGGAAGCTGAAATCATAGTAAAGTGCATCATTAATCATTAGAAACTGTTATAAACAGCAAGCAGGGACAACATAACAGTGCAGTAGTGTTATAGCAGCAAAGGAGACAGCCAGATACCTGAGTGAAGCCATCTGTCTCAGAGGAACACAGCGTCTGGTTGGCCACCTCCAGCAGCTCCTCCGAGCTCTCCAGGGCTTTGGAACAGGCACTGAGCTGACTCTGAGACAAATGCCAAGTCAAACAGACTAAATCTGATAACTCTCACACATTCAACTTCAACATAACAGCACTACTGTGCTCTCTGCCGAAGCTGTGGAGCCTGCTGCATCATTTCATCAGACCAAGAGCAATTTTACAATTTTCATTTGGTGAAACAAGTCTATTGCATTAATTTGATAAATATCTGAGTCATGACCTAGCATTTAATTACTCTTTTTCTTATCTAAAGAATACATTTACCCAATCAACTGTCAATTCTTTTTTTAAATAAATACTTTTTGTCAAATTAAAATTAACTAACAATTATTTTCAATAGCTATTTAATGTGCTAATTAATCCATTGATTACTTTCTGATGTTTTGTCGACCAGTGTATAAATGAGCAAGCAAATGATTGTAATAACATTTGGAAGCACAAGGTGACAACAGCAAATATCTGGTTTTGCCTGATCATCAGTTTAAAAGTAAAAGATTTTCATGTATAAATAGAACAATCAAATGATTTGCTTGAAAATGGCTTAAATCAAATTTTTTTAACTAACTTGCTGCAGGTCCAGTCTCACTCTCACACAATATATAGCATTGTATTGTTTTACACCAATCTGTTTTATTACTTTATATAAACATTGTGGTAATTTTATTTAGATTCTTAGATTTTTTGTGAATATTATGCAAAACATTTTTCATTCATTTGTTCATGCAAAAAACAAAGTTGGTGACATTTGCAGTTTTCTCTCCTATGGCCAGTTTTTAGTTGCATCTTTAATAACACCTTTTTAGTTTTTAGTCAGACATTAAAGGATCAGGTATCTGTGTTTTTATGGGGTGAATTCAAAGCAAAGCTGCATTATTCATCTGATGAACAAGATACAGTCACAAGAAAAAAGTAAAAGTAAAGGCACTGTTTGCAGTTTCCTGGTTTTCTGCATAAACTAGTCATGAAATGTGATCAGATCTTCACCAAAGTCACAAATATCAACAAACATAATATTTTTAAGCTGATAAAACACAAACAGTCATGATCTTTCATGTTTTTATTGAGCACACCCATTAAACATACAAAATGATGGTGAAAAAAGTGGCTGAACCACCTCTCTTTTTACATCATATGTAGCGCTGTGTGTTCTTCCCAAACAATTCTACCTTCACCTCATCCGTCCACAGCAGTGTTGTGGGGTGTCAAGGTGGTCTTTGGCAAATTTCAGGCATGCTACAATGTTGTTTTTAGGGAGCAATGGCTTCCACCATGGTGCCCTGTTATGCCTGTTCAATATTTTGCATATGGTTGACTCATGAACAGAGATGTTAACCAACTCCAGTGAACCCTTCAAGTCTTTAGCTGTTACTCTAGGGGTCTTTTTTACCTCACTGATTGTTCTGCGTTGTGCCTTGGGACTGATCTTGGCTGGGTGCCCACAGTACCAGATCATCTCTATTTAAAGACACTGTGTCTAACTGTGGACTGATGAAACTCTAAAGTCTTTGAGACGACTCTGTAACTCTTTCCAGCTACATGCAAATCAACAACTATTGATCGAAGGTCTTCTACCATGGCTCACATCAGCTGACACTGTTGGAGTGTTTTTATAAGTCAAGGTAGTTCTAAACCACACCTCCATTCTCATTTCATTGATTGGACCCCAGGTTTGTTAACACCTTGACTCCAGTTGTTTAGTGACACCAGAAGCCTAGCATTGCCATTACTTTTTCCACCATTACTTTGCATCTCTAATGGGTGTGTTCACTAAAGCCATGAAAGATCATGACTGTTTGTGTTTTATCAGTTTAGAAATATTGCCTTTGTCGATAGACCTGGATGAAGATCAGATCACATTTCATGACCAATTTATGCAGAAAACCAGGAAATTGCAAACAGCGCCATTACTTTTTCTTGTGACTGTATGAGAATACACAGAGACATAATGTCACAAAATGTGAGGCAGAATTTCTTCACATTTACTTGCCAAAAAAACTACAGATGGTTTTGTTAAGATTTGAAAAGTCTTTCTCAAATATTAAAGAGGCCTGGATACAGTACACTATGCAAATGATGGAGGTTCATGCTTACAGTAAATGCAGTTTATTTATTATAATTTTGAGACTGAAGAGATGCAGACAACTGCAGTAGGTACCTGGAGCTCATATGTGCGGCTGGCTCTCTCCTGCTTGATGCGTGTCAACATATTTTCCTTCATCTCATCCAGAACAGAGTGGAGGGAGCTGAACTCAGACTCCAGGTCTTCCTGCACTCGGTTGGAGTTCACCTGATGTCACAGTAAAAATGACTAGTACATGGTAGAAGACTTGTCACCTGGACAAGTCACATGAACACACTGACAGAGGAAAAACAGGCAAAATTCAGCAAGTTCAGCATTGTGCGTTTTTTTTTTTTTTACCTCTAAGTTGTCAAGGCTCTGTTTGAGAGCGCAGATGAAGTTTGAAATCTCCTCATTCTTCATGGCCAGTGTGTTGGTGATCCTACTGAGAGCTTCCTAAATAAACAGATTCAACATTTTGTTAAGCCTGAAATTTTACAAAATCTTCTAAGCCTACAAAGTGGCCACAAAGCACAGAGGGCTGAATGACTGCAGTGCCCTTCCAACCAAGCACTACACAAGCTCACTACAGTGACTGGGTGAGGACACAAGCAGCTTTGGGCTTAGAGCTGCCTTAAACATTTGTTCTTCACATCTAATCAGAGGACTAGCCTCGGTGCGAAGGGAGGAGGACACTTTACGAGCGGAAGGATACGCAATCATAATTTAATAATTCAGCTCCACAACCACTGAACAGCTGACTACAAAGGGACTGAACACACTGGGGTCGATTGCTGTCCGATCTGTGACCATTCATACTGGATGTTTGTTGCTGCATAGATAGCAAAGTTAAAATTAATGGCGTCAACAAGACAAACCTCAACTTCAACGGGACAAACAGCGATAAAGCCAAATAACACCAATGTGAAACACGAGCCTGTGCCGCATCCACAAGCTCCCAGCGTCTCAGCTTCTCCCCTCCTTCCTTTGTACACTACGCCCTGAAACGGCTTCCCCATCAGAGACACCTGTTCTTCCGGATTCGTCTCACCTTCTGGTCCCCCATTTCACCGCCCAGATGAACCGGCACCGCTGAGCCGCAAACACCGGTGGTATTCCTCCTCCGTGTCCCGGTTTTAATTTATGAGCACAGCTGAGATGTTACTGATGCTACCGGAGTGCAACGCATCTTCGACCTCACACCAACAACGCCTTTGGGCCGGAGTTCGGTAAGCGCATGCGGCAGAGGAGGATTCTGGGTAGTGATGTTTCTGCTACCTCTATATGCATACAGTGTACATACAGTGGTTATATTAAATTCAAATTCAAATTTTATTTGTATAGCGCCAAATCACAACAAAAGTCATCTCAGGATATTTTACAAAGTAAGGTCTAGACCATACTATTATCACATATTATTATAGAGGAAATCCAACAAATCCCCCTTGAGCAAGCACTTGGTGACAGTGGGGAGGAAAAACTCCCTTTAACAGAAGAAACCTCTGACAGACCCCGGCTCTTGGTGGGCGGCCTTCTGCCTCGACCGGTTGGGATGAGTGGATAGAGGAGAGACAAAAGAAGAAAAGCAACAAGACACAACAATCAAACACTGGTCAGGTTGATGTGGCTGGTGACTGCTCGTCAGAGACATAAAGCTCCAGGGCCAGGGCAACCTGCAGAAAGGTACAGGGAGAGAGAGAGGACACACTACAGGAGAGAGGAGACACAAAGTTAGTAATGTGTAATGGTGGTATATAGAAGCATAGGGAGAGAGAGGAGAGGAGAGGAGAGGGGAGGGAAGGAGAGAAACAGCATAACTAACATTGCCTCATATTAAAACTATGACTTGTTTTGATTGTTCCTTGTCATGTTAAGATGTCTGTTATTCTGTAAAAATCTGTCATAAACATTTACTGTTGATTTTGTCCTCGCTTCATCACCTTTGCTTGTGATATGAATGTGATAGATAATGGACCAGGACAGTATCTATCCAGAAGCCAATAAACCCTAGATAACTTTACTTCCCTGTTCATACATCAGTATTTGCACCCACTCTCCCCCCAGCAGTAAAGTTGTGATGAGACCTATTCTAGCCTACTTTATAGGTAGGTAGGTACTTTATTGATCCCTCAATGGGGAAGTTTCAGTGTTTCAGCAGCAATGGAGAACAAACAACATAACACCATGAGAACAAACACTGCACACACATCCTGATAAATAAATTCCAAGTACTCAAAAATAGACAGAATCAAGTATTTGAATACTTCATTTTGACACCATTTTAGAGGGAAATACTGTACTTCTTACTCCACTGCATTTATCTAACAGATATATTTACTGTTTACTTTTCAGATAAATCTTGTACATGAAAAACATATGGTAAGCTTATAAAATACAACATTTCTAACGATTAAACTACTAACTTCCAACCTTTTTGGCTTGTGACATATTATACAAAAGGTCAGTGTCTTTGTAGGGCCACATTTCAGATGTCTGTGAACTGCTAGCAGATCAAACAACTAAATATTCTTCTACATTTGTTAGATGGTTTATTTAAAAACCTCTTTGAGGCCCAACATTTAAGGTTTGGAACCGCTGCACTAAACAACCTAATGAGCTGTATGCACTGTATATAAAGTACTTCATACTAGCTCCACCAAGACCAGTAATAAAATGTTGCTTAATCACTGATGTGTCAGTAACAGTCACATTTGAATATTTATATTATTCACAGGGGCTATTCTGGAGAAACAATGCTTTTGCTTTTGATGCTTTAATCAATTTTTACTTTTTAGTTTACTTTATACTCATGCGTAACTGAAATTTTAAAAGCATGTAAAAATGCACATTTGTTGAAGTATTGCTACTTTTACTACTTAAGTAAAAGATCTCAGTACTTCTTCCAACACATTCAGTCAACAGTTAGTCAAGCACTTTTAATTTCTGATCCGACATTTTATGAACATGCATAACATGTTATATTGCCATGATTGTTGGCAAATGTTTTAAAAATGCTACTTTAAATAAATGGAATAACTTTATCTTGTATATTTCCTATAAAATAATATCGTGAGACCACTAATATAGAGTACGGTAACAAATTCTTAGTCCAAGAGGGATGATAGGGTCCAAGAGGGTCCTTTGACGGACTGCTGTTTCCTGTGGTAAACCGTACTCATTTCCTGTTTTCTGTATTTGCACTGCATTGTGCTTGCTTCCAAATTGTTTAGGAATTAAACTCACTATTTTCTAGGTTCATCTGAATTTTTGAGTGACAACATACGCTTGCACCACTTAAAGCACTTGTTTTGCAGAAGTTCTTGCTAACTACCAAATTTAACTTGCTACTTTAGGTCGGCTAGTTTAGAAGCTAGCTAAGCTAGTAGCTTAATCGAGAGCAATGGCTTCCCCCTCTTCATCTCCTCCTTTCTCTTGTTCGGAGTGTCGCATGTTCAGTTATTCCTCTGCCTCCTTTAGTGATAATGGTACTTGTAATAAATGTCAGATGCTAGCAGCATTGGAGGCGAGGCTCACAGACTTAGAAGCGCGTCTCCACACTAGGGAGAATAGGCCATCTACCTATGCCCACGTAGCCGGTGTGGAGCGTCCTAGACGTAGCTTAGCCCAAGCTAGCCGCCCCCCACAGCTGCCCGAGCAGCCGGGATCTCAGACAGGTGGCTGGGTGACAGTTCGCAAGAGTCGTAGCTCCAAACGAATGTCCACGGAGCATCACCTGCCTGTTCACGTTTCAAATCGATTTCCCCCACTCAGCGACACACCCGCTGAGAAAACAAC